GCCTATCACTTAATTACTCTAAGCTCCTACAAGTATATAGGAGTATATAGGACTCTGCAGATGGCCAGCGCTGAAAAGTCCAGGTCCCTCTGGTTCAATCAGCCAGCAAGGATGGAGCATCAAAACCATCCCACACCCCTGGGAAGCTTACAGGTCAAACCTGATCAAGTAATGACATTATCATCTGTTCCAGACAGAAGGCAAGATCCATTGTGAGTTCTGCAACATGCACTGGCTGAGATATACTCTAAGACAGGTCCATGATTGTCATGGAGGCCATGAATTCCTGAACTACACCAGACAAAGTCACCTTAGCTTTTATGTCGAAATCACCCAGAACCATCCGCCTCATGCATTGATGTTTTCCCTGTGATGACTCCTTTCTTTCCTTCCCAGGAATATAAGGCGGTAGAGACGGAGACAAATAGCCAATTCCTTGTTACACCCCTAAAGGGACACCCCCCTTCTTCTCATAGCTGAAATGTTAGAATATACATATCTAATACAAGTTGAAATGGAAGACCCAATGACTGCATTTGGATGGGACACTAAACTATGATTTAGCATTAAGTGCACAAGCCTTGAGCTTGCACACTCCTCCAGCTCCCTCTCTTTTCGGGTGGCCACAAGGAATACAGAAGTTTCCATTTCCATCAAGCCAGAGTTACTTATTATGTCAGAACAGCTCCAGGTACATACCCAGGTTCTTCTCCATGGGTACTGTGGTGTATCTAATTTTCCATTCTGGTTGCAGTTTCCAACACAGCACCAGAAGCCACTGCAAAAGATCTTCCAACTTTTGGGAATAGCATTTAACTCTTGATTTTATTTTAAATGACTATAAGCTGCCTTTGGGGAGTGGAAAAGTGAGGTACACATAATAAATAAAATAAAATAAAAAGCTAAAATGAGGTTGGGGAATGAGAAGGATTGCAGGAAAATAAAACTTAACTGTAAGGAAAAACAGATGATCTAGAATAGATGCAGAATGCACACAATGACATCACAGGGAGACTTCTAAAACACTCCTTTAGAAGAGTGTGGTTAATTAGTTCGTTGGTAGGTAGGTTGGTAGGGGCTGTTTCCTAGATGACTTCTGTGAAGAGGTGCATCTCTCACTCTGAGAACTGCTGTGTTGAGAAAAGCTTGATTTTAAAATAGTTGGAGCCAGCTGATTACTTACATTTCAGCAACCAAAAATCCTCTACACATCCTGAAGTGCAGTTCACCGTCTAATACAACAAATAACACCTGATCACAGCTTGCCTTCCTTTCCATTTCCTGCAGGTCAGTTCAACCTCATTACTTAAGATTATTTTGATGTGAAACCCCACAGCCCCAGCCACCACAATGACAGCAACAGATGGCTCAGAGGCCCCCTCTGAATCACCAACAATATCCTTTTCAGCTGCAACTTCAAATTCTGGTTTGTTCGTTTATTTATTTATTTATATTTAACTCCCACTAGGCACATATTGGGGGGGGGGGAGAATCCAGAGAAGCTCCATCAGAACTCACCCACTTCTATTTGCCCTTCTCATGTCCCCCCCCCCTCACAGATCTCAGCTGTGACTTGTGCAGCAATTCTCTGCAAAACCAATTCATCTCCTGTCATCTGGCACCTTCTTGGCCCTATAAACTAGCTAATTCATTTCCAACCCACTCACACCTTGTGGGTTCAAAAGTTTGACTCAGACAAATGCTTCTGTATAACATTGTTTAAATGTATTCTCAAGGATGGAATGCAGATATGAGTGTACATGACACAGGACAGGAAAAGAATTTTAAAAAATCAAGCTTGATTTATTATTGCCCAAACCAAAATATATTTTGAGTGAATTACAGTACCTCTAATTCTACAAAGTTAAAGACCACATATCCCATTGGCTCCAACTGCTTCTTTCAGTATGATCTGCAGCATTGCTTTTTCAGCTATGTTTATTTGCACCTTCAACTCTACCACTTAATCTTTTTTATTTTATTTTTCCAGTTTTGACAATGTGCATGCTTGCTGTGAATCCACATCATTTCCCTTTGAGCATTTTCCATTCGCCTCCCACACCCTGATCTATCTCTGCCTATGCACCACACCTTCAATTTCCCAACCAAAAAGACAGAAATAAACACCAAAAGCAACAACAACAACAACAACCCCACAACCACCTAATGACTAAATTACTGGCCAACTGTGCAAGGGAATGACAAGCTACGATTTGATCCTGGAAGCCACTGCTTAATTAAACCCTATGTGCTCATTAAGAACGACAGAATAAGCATTTCATTTTTGCAGAGAATCCTGGGAACCACCACAATTTCTCCATCCCTACCCCCCCCCCCACCATAGGAAACAAACCAATCACACGGAACTTGCTTGGTGCTCTATAATAAACAAGGAGGCCTTGAAATATCCCAGGTAGCTCTAGGCATTCTGGGAGATCTCTTGGAAAATCCTTCCTTCGGAGCCCAAGCTGGGCCCAATTTCTTTCGGCACCTGGCCACCTGCGACACACACACACCCCGCCAGGCCTGCATCGATGCTTTGAAATGCATCCCCCATGCAAAAATAAAAATATACGGGCGGGGGAGGAGAGCCCGGGGTCTTGCCAGAAGCCTGTTGCAAACCCGTTTGAATCATGGCAGAGCTTTGCAGTCTCATGGTTCAACGCCCTTCAAGCAAAGCTGTCATATTCGGCCCTTGGGAGGTAACGGGCTCCCAGGCTTGGCAGGGGGGGAGACCCCTCCTGCGAAAACACTGCCCAGATTCCCCCCCACATCAAACCACCATCACCTCTTTCCGCCACGGTCGGCGGCCGAAGCGAGCAGGAGATGAATGAATTGCGGGCAGGGGCGGGCGACGGATGTTGACGAAGGTCCGCCGTTTCTGCCGCCGGGAGGAAAACGACCCCGCACCTGCGTCCTTATATATATATGCAACCCCCACCCACCCCCGTCTCTCGTCCTCCGGGCCGCAGACCCTTCGCTAAAGCCGAGAAAGCCGCGCGCCAAGAGGCATCTTCCCACCCCGCCGCCGCCGCCGCCTTAGTCGTGGCCGCTCCGCCTCATGCTCGACAGCGGCTCCCCCAGCCGCGCGCGCCGGGATGCCATCGTCGCGGCCCCAGGATCCCCGGCTGCGGGATGGCGGGATCCTCCGGTGTGTGTGGTTCTTTTTTTACCTGGCCTTGGAAGCGAGGATGCTGCCGGCCTCTGCGGCTGGGCTCTGCGCGGGATGCAGCAGCGAGCGGCGGGCAACGGAGGAGGCAGAGATGCTGAGGCGCCGCTGCTGCCACCACTCGGCAGTCTCCACCTTCGCCGCCACAGCCTCGGCCTCCTCCTCCTCCTCGGATCTATTCGTGTCACACACACACACACACACACACAGAGAGAGAGAGTTCTAGTCAGACAGGCTCCCTCTCTCTCCCCCTCCCTCCTTTTCACACACACGCACAAAGAGCAGGAAATGGCTACAGCTTGCGCGCTTCCTGAGCTCTTGTGCTCATCGCCCCCCACCCCCTGGCGCGAGAAAGAAAACTCCCCCCCCCCCCGCGCAACCTCCGCCCTGCACGCCTCGCCTCCCGCCGCCTCCGCAGCGTGCATCGACCGTGTCCCCCTGTCAGGCAGGAACTGCACCTGTTAACGACAGGGGACTGGAGTTTCGCGGGTTGTGACCCCCCCCCCGCAAAGCCCGTCCCCCTTGAAACTGCTGGAGGAATGGGCTCTGCTGCTGGAGCAAATTCTGTAGGCATACTCAGGGAAGGAGGGGAGAAGAGCGACAGAAATCGGCGGCATGAGCAGCAACTGCGTGTCCGCTTGCTTGCCGTGAGAAAGAGTGAGCGCCTGCCTGTTGGCCTCGGCGTTTGTCTCTCATCTTAAGGGCTGAACAGAGGAGCAGGAGGCTCCAAAAAGAGGGGGGAGAGGCAAGCAGTTTAAGCCTCGCCTGTGCAGCATTCAGCCAGCCCTATGTTATCAGGTGTCTGCTTCTTATGTATAAAATACATACCCATAAGTGTGTGAATATGAAAAGGCAGCCTAATAAAAAATAGTGAAAAGGAAATCAAGTGTTTCAAAAAATGTGTAACAGCACAGTGGCGTAGCGTGGGGGGTGCAGGGGGGGCCGGCCGCACGGGGCGCAACATCTGGGGTTAGGGCAAATCCACAGGTTAGGGGGCGCAAATCCACGGGTTAGGGGGCGCAAATTACTTGCCTTGCCCCGGGTGCTGACAACCCACGCTACGCCACTATAACAGCAAGACTTTTATGCAAAACTATGTACAGTATCAGATATTACAATTCCTTTACACCGAGGACAAGCAACTCCTGAGTTGTACACTGAGGGTACAACTCTGAAATGCAAGAGCAAGATACAGCTCCACCTCTTTGAAGGCAATGCCATTGTTGCACCCATAAGCTAGGTTTAAAGTGCCATTTAGCTTCTAGCTTTCTTATCTCAGTTTTTAACACTGTCAAAGATAACTCTGCAGTAAAGTCTCTCTCCCATAAGATACAGCCTGGGCCTTGATTTAGCTGCAGTGGTCTTATGCAACAATTGTGGTCCTGGATGCAAATGTATAGCCTTGCACCAGAAATACATTCAGTCAGTTAAGTAGAGTCTGGATGAGATGTGTCTGGACTACGGACATTAACACAAGAAACACATGTAGGCTGCGTTTACCAAGCATAGGCAAACTCTGGCCCTCCAGATGTTTGGGACTACAATTCCCATCATCCCTAGCTAACAGGACCAGTGGTCAGGGATGATGAGAATTGTAGTCCCAAACATCTGGAGCGCTGGAGTTTGCCGATGCCTGGCGTATACAGTGGCATTCTTGCTGGATCAGGACATTTGTTTTAAAGGTCTTGTTTTGGGGCCAACCACCAATATCCAATAGAACTCTCCTTTATATATAAGATTTGTTAAATGTGAACCTGTGCATTGAAACTTTTTGTAATGATAGTATTTACATGGAAGACAACAGGACATATGACTCTCCAACAGTTTGTAATAGTTTTCTCATCTCATCTACATATTCCGTATTTCCGTTATTATTTATTTTCCAGCATTTTTCTAAAAGAATCTCTAGTTTTACAATCTGAAAATGGTCAAAGAGGCTAACAAAATTTATACAATGAAAACACAATACAAAAATATAATCACAGCAATAACAATGTACAAAAACTCTTAAATAGCTATACTATTCTAATACAATATAATCAGTTCAAAGTCATCCTCAATTGGAGAGCAGTCCAGCATGGTATTTTATAATAATGTACATTGTAATTGACCATTGGAAAAAGGTAAAGGGCCAGTTCAAGAAATTTTGGCAACTAAGGTGGAAGTTCAGTATAATGTACATTATATATCATATATTTATATTTCTCTCATGTAAAATAAAGTAACAATCTGCGATCATTAATAGCATTCAACACTTGCCACCTGAAGTGCTCACATTTTTTTTTAACCCATGTTTCTTGTAGCAACATTAAAAACAGTTGATAGTGAAAGAATATATTATACAATATTTGTATATTAGCCAACCCTGCTGAATATATATATTCCCCACCTTTTCTTTCAACACATTATGTAAAAAGTGAAAATAAACAAGTAGCAGAATCCTATATTTTATACTCTAGAGCTTCAAAGCAAGCAGTCCATTCTTAACTTTCCCAATGTACAAGATGCAGTAACGAGTCCCACCTGTCCCTGCTGTGTCCTATGTTAATCCATGCAGTTTATTTTGCAAGAAGATTGTGTTTTGAATTTGCTGTCAAAACATTTGTTTATGCATAGCTTAATATTCCCGTTCAGCTTCAAGCAGGCTTGGAGGACGAGAGTCATACTTCAGTTCCCCTTGAAATGAGTCATTTTTCAATTAAAAAAAGAGTGTCAGCTCCATAAAGCAATGGCAGTTCATCATCTTCAATATCGGTATCACCATGTGAAACAGAAGATAGACTCCTGGATCCTCACTGAATCCTCACTGAACAGATAATTAGACACAACCCTGAAAGCATCTTGCATTATCCGTTTTCTCAGTTTGTGTAGGACTTTTAAATAGCCAGGATTCCTGTCGCTATTTCTGTCCCAGGTCAGCTACTTCAGTGTGAATGAATACTTCTGAACAATGCGTGCTAAACGTGGTCATGCTTTTCATATATTTTTTCTTTTTTAATTAAGAAGCAGCTTCCTTTCATCTTTAGTTAAAGATCAGATTCAGATATTTCGTTGAGCTGGTAGAGCAGGGTAGAGAAGGGGGGTCTGTCCTCTTGCTTCTGAAGGGACAACATAGAAGACAACACTGAAGACCATATTGTGAAGGCCAATAGCAACCAGTAAAGCAATTAATTAATGACTTTTTGCAGGATTTCTATACTGCCCGATTGTAATAAAAACTCAAAAGTGTTTTACAAAAAGAATAAAATTACCATGGAAAATACCGTTAAAAACAATTATTTTAAAACATTCAAACAAATAATTAAAATCAACAATAAGCTAAAAAAACACATGCCAGCATTCTTACTGAAAACCTTCCAAGAAGGAATAATAATAATAATAATTTATTTGTACCCCGTCCATCTGATTGGGTTGCCCCAGCCACTCTGGGCGGCTTCCAGCATATATAAAAAGTATAGCAGCTGCAGTGTTGTTTAGTAAGCATTACATGATGGTGAAAACAATAGACAGCAGCTCATATGTGACAAGCCAGCCCAGTCCTGTTTCTGTGCAGTGAGCCCTTTTTCTTCTGGTATCAGGCAAAGCTTCCTCTCACCAGGACACAAAAGGCTAGGTGCAGAATATGGCAGAGGGCCCCATGAGCTGGTAAATACGTGAAAAAGGTTTCTTCTGATTGTGGCCCTACGTCATCATAATTCTTAATTTTAATCTGACAAGTATGTTAAAGCTTACGAGAATTATATTGCTGATGAAAACGCAAACATCCTGGCATTGGTAATCTAGTTAACACCTGCAGCGGGGTAACCCCACCCTAACATGACAGATTTTCCATAATTTTTGACCAATTAAAATTCTAAATTTGCATATTATTTTTCTTAGAATGTTTAAATGTGTTAGCAGGACTACTTCTGCTCTCCTTAAGTAAAGACCAGTGCTGTTTCGGATCCGCCTTTACCCCTCTTCTCATATATGAAGTAATCTGCACCTGTTCTAGTACTGACCTCACTCCAGCAATGTCTCATGAGCGTGTAAATGGTATTGGAGGCCAGTCTGGGCTTATACAAACGTAAACCAGCACTGATTTCTTCCACCACTTCAGCGTTGGTCCGGTTCTCATAAGGCATTTTGCCTTCGCTGAATATCTCCCACATCAATACTCCTGAAAGAAAACAAGCAATATATGAATTTGGAAGAGAGTGCATCCACATTAATGTCATGGCCCGCCTTTCTCCCACAGACATCTTCTGTGTCTGGGAGGCTACTTGGTTTACTGAGGAGCCCTGGGGAATCGTCTTCTAGGGCACAGGTGGCACAAATCTGACTGAAAGGAGGTACATGTGCATAGCCATTCCTACCACATGGCAGTGGCAGCAGAGAATCCTAGAGTTAGAAGGGACCCTGTGGATAATCTAGTCCAGGGGTCAGCAAACTTTTTCAGCAGGGGGCCGGTCCACTGTCCTCAGACCTTGTGAGGGGGGTGGACTATATTTTGGAAAAAAATATATGAATGATTTCCTATGCCCCACAAATAACCTACCTCACATGGTTATTGTGGGGATTAAATGAGGGAGGGGAGAATCATATATGCCACCTTGAGCTCCTTGGAAGAAAAGGTGGGATATAAATACAACAACTAAAATAAAATAAACCCTGAGATCACTGGATGAAACAATGGTTTTAACTGTTACATTTTTTAGAATGTTTTAAAACATGGGTAGGAAAACTAAGGCCCGGGCGCCAGATCCGGCCCAATCACCTTCTAAATCCGGCCTGCGGATGGTCCAGGAATCAGCATGTTTTTACATGAGTAGAATGTGTCCTTTTATTTAAAATTCATCTCTAGGTTATTTGTGGGGCATAGGAATTCGTTCATTTTTTCCTCCAAAATATAGTCAGGTCCCCCACAAAGTCTGTGGGACAGTGGACCAGCCCCCTGCTGAAAAACTTTGCTGACTCGTTTTAAAATGTATCCTTTTTAGGTGTTTTTAACAGTTTTGGAATTTATTTATTTTTAAGACTGGCTGTCTTTGCTGCCCTGGGCTCCTTTGGAAAAAAAGTGTGAACAGAATTTCAGATAAATAAATACACAAATGAGGCAGCTTCCTATGTTGAGACTAAATGAGGCTTACAATAGAAATAGTCTCACTGGTTTCCTGATTGTCAGTACGTTATGTGTTTGCCTCTGCCTACATGTGGGAGCCAGGACTGATCGATTGCATTTATATCCCATATTTTCAAGGAATTGGAAGTGGCTTGCATGATTCTCTCCCTCCTTGTTTAATCCCCACAACAACCCTGATAGGAATACTAGACTGAGAGGCAGTGACTGGCCAATGTCACCCAGTGAGCTTCATGGCTGAATGGGGATTTGAACCCTGACCTCCAACTGTTCTCCAACTGGAGAACAGCCTTTACCAAAGGTGTAATGGGCTTTGAAGATGCTTGAACTCAGGACAAAAGGGAGAAACATGCTAAGAGGAAGGCACACTTGCCAAATCCACACCGTGATCAACTCCCTCCAGGAAACCTATGTCTCCACTGTGGAAGGATGTGTGGATCCAGAATTGGCCTCCATAGTCATTTAGAGACTCACTGTTAAGACCATGTTTATGGAAGACAATCTTACATGGCTACAAGTGATCACCAAAGAAGAAGAATCCTGACATTCTAACTACTACACCACACTGGCTCTCCAGACTTCACCATTGATTCTCCACAATGATCTCATGTAAATTATTATAATTTTCTTTGTTGCAGACAATGCAACTTCTTCACTGGAGTTATGACCTGTCTGCCAACTTGCTTTTCAAAAGGGTCAAAATTAATTATTCAAACACAACTGCTGAATCAAAACACGGTTAAATCGAAACTGTGAAACTCACTTTAAACAAGTGTTGCTGTTCTGCATGACTAGAAACAAACCACCCAAAACACTAATTGTGAATTCAAAATAAAGAGGCAAAATGGAAAGGATATTTTCTTAATTGCAGTTGACAACTGTATGCAAAAAGCACAGAGCTACCCTGTCTCTAGCGGAATTCCATATTCATATCAGCTAAGTAATGCCGACTCTCAAGAAGCATCTTCATGATACAAGCACTTTGAAACATTTATAAATCTAGGGGATGTCCTTTATTGGTGAATAAGCAAAATTACGAAACTCTTAGTTGAAGTGCTCACTCATAGGTAAAGGCTAGTTGTCATTCCTCGGGGTGTTTTGATCCAGGTCACAGTAGGATGGTTTAATGACCCAGTGGAGAATGTGAAAAGATTGAGGAGTAGCAAAGCGGAAAGGCTCGCAGAAGCATGATGCCATGACTTGACAGAAGAATCCTCTTATGCAAACCATGCTATGCAAATTAATAATAAGTCACAGACCATGCTGGCGCCTGCAATCCCCCCTCCCCATCTATAGGAAATGTTAAGCCAAATATGGTTTAAAACATATTACATTTAAATAATAATAATGTAAGCCTTTTTACACAAAAGGGATATGAGGGCGAGGCTGGAACTTCTTATCTAGAAAGGATTAACAATGGAAGGTCTTTTCAAGAAGAAGAACTTGAAGTAATTAAGTGAATGGGAATTTTGAGATTAAAGGCTCTTACCGAATGACCATACATCAGATTTGGTACTATACCGACTATAGGAGAAAACCTCTGGTGCTGACCACTTGATGGGGAATTTGGTGCCCATGGAGCTGGTATACTGATCATCAAGGACGTATCTAAAACAGAGCAACGTGTTTAAGGCCATTTGAATGATTCCAGGGTCCACATTACACAAGCACCATTGTACACAGGGAAAGACTGCAGCTCCATGGCAGAATGCATACATTGCAAGCGTAAGAATCAGTTCTCAGGATCTCATACAATATTGTGGGTGAGCATTGGGGTTTTTTTTGGGGGGGGTAGTTATTGTTTTAGTTTGAGTTGTTCTCTTGTGTTTATATCTTGGATTTCATTCTGTGAACCACCCTGAGATTTTGTGATGGTGGTATATAAATTGAATTATTATTAATAATAAATACTGTGCACTATGCTAAAGTAACATCCTCCTTATAGTACATGATTACTGGTGTAAGAGGATAATATGTCCTGGTCCAGACTGGAAGCTAAACCGAATGGTTCATTGTCTCTGGTTCCATATTATCAGATACTGCCAACCATTTCAACAGTGCTGTTAACTACAGAGCATATCTGGCTAGCAACTGGTGAAATGACGCCTGGAAAACAGCAGGTGATGACAGTGGTTTAACAGTTGATGGGATTTCTTTTCCAGAGGGTTGAATGTGATATGATAGAGGCATCTCATTATTTTCTTTGTTCTTAGTTTTTATAGGTTTTCACAATGGCTCAAACTGTTTGATTGGAAATGACAATGGGGCAAAAGAAATCAAGTGTGGAAATCATGAGAAATGGTGCCTCCAGCACTTTGAGTTCACATTTTTTTAAAAAAAGCATTGTCAAAGGAGGGAACAGCTAGAGGAAGTTTCAGCAAGAACAGGACAACTATGGGCTCCAGACTAAATGTATATTTTGCCACAACAATGAAGTAGCTGCTGGACACATTTCAAAAGGAGGGGGAAACTTTAGTGGAATTCTACTCATCCAGTATGCATACAAGGTTCAAATTACCGTGACATTCCAAAATCTGACACTTTGACAACTTGGAATTCTCCTACCAAGCAATTCCGAGCAGCCTGTGTAGAATGGAGAAAAAGAGAGTATTAGTAGGGCTGAACTGAAACAACCCATTATTTCTCAAGAGCAATTTTAGCTGTGTTGAAAAGCACACCCGACACTTTTTTCCCCACAGAGGTTGTGAAAACGTTTGCATATTCATTTACATATTTCAGACTTGCTCCTCCTCTTTTAATCAGATTAGTCTGTCTTCTTCACTCAACGACATAATCACAATCACATGGTCAAATCTGATTGGCTGGGCTCATGAATATGTTGGATCCATGTAGCTTTGCCCTCATTCTCAGCAGACTGTGTTCCCTCACTAATATCTTCATGTAGCAAAATAGAATTGGCTACATAGTGATGTGATATCATCCCATTTAGCATGCGATTTCCAGTTGGCTGGGATTGCCCATGTGACTGGCCAGTCTGTGGAAAAACTCGACAAGGACAATGGCACCAGAGCCTCAGCAGGTAGGGAAATAATAGCATTTGAAGATGGGGGGGAGGGTCGCCAAAAAGAGTAAATATTCTGACAATAAAAGGATTTTTCAGGCAATAACTATAATGGCCCCACAACCGCTATTTTTGGCTCACATACTGAAATGGAAGAATATTTGTAATTATTTAAATTATGGTTTGTAAGTGGTGATAATTTCACTTCCTTCTTAATTTAAGAGCTGCTAATTTCTTTGCTAGAGGTACAAACGGACATGACCCAGACATACCAAGTCTCTGTGGATGACAGACGCTTGTTCCAGATAAGTCATTCCTTCACACACATCTTGGCACATTCCAAGGAGCTCTTCCTTTGAGAAACTCCCTCGCTGCCTCTTTAGATAATCAGCCAAACATCCATGCTCCATGAATTCAAACACTAGGCACATAGGAGCTTGTTGCATGCATACCCCATGCAGCTGGACTAATTTGGGGTGGGAGAGCTTCCTGTTGACATAGGAGGAGAAATCAGTGTGGTCATGTGAAGTCCTTTGCAGAAGCTGATATATAGGCATATTCAACTGGAAATTTAAGAAAAGAGCAATAAAATCAATGTGAAAGAAGAAAACCAGACCCAGGAATGGTATACACACAAATTGTGGGTCCTGGAAAATTTCATGTTGTATTTCTCTCATCATGGTATGGATCTCTTGAAAAGTAAGATGGATTCTGCACTGCTTGGACATATAAACAAAATGTAACTGACATTTCCCCTATTTTCTGTTCAAGCAACAACCTTGCTGAATGTATTTTAAATACTCTTCACATTCGCAATGCATTTAAATACTTCAGAATGTGTATAATAAATGCTCATGCAGTTTCCCCAACAACCTGAGCTTGCTTTGTGTCTTTATGAAAATAAGCATCAGATATTAATACAATAGGGATTTTTATTGAAGGAGCTATAAAAAGCGAAACTTATGCCTTTCCTTTGAGTATAGCACCAGTGACATCAAAGTCAATCTTTCATTTCCAACTTCATCCTTAGGAGAGATTGTGCAGCATCAAAAGTCCCAGTGGAAACAGCATTTTACCCCATCTTTATATTGATTCAAATTACTGCTTTTTAAAATCGAAAATATTTTCTTCAAGCTTTAAAATAATTGATGCCACATTTTTCATGTTTGTCGTGGTGTCTAGAGAAATATTATCTCAAAACAAAAGCAAAAATTCATAGAATCGTAAAAAGAAGAATTGCTGAGCCAAGCAAAGACTGCAGTAAAAATAGCCTGCTGTATGCCGGCTTTATATTCCTTATCCCTCTAGAACTGCCCAGTGTTTAAAAGTACAACATAAAGATCCATCATCAACCAGAAACTCAGGCTGAAATTATAGCCTTAGCTGGGACTGGAAATAACTCCCATCAAATTTCTGAGTAGGACTGCACTAAGTAGCTTCCAAGCATCATGACTTCATTAATATTTATTTGTGCATATGTCTGCACATAGATAAAAAATGAAATTCAGGGGTTAGCTCTTATTGTTCCAGTAAAAGCCAATTCCACCAAAGTACAGGGGACAAAGAGAACCTTTACAAAGCACTCATATGTCCCACAACTTTCCAGCCTGTATTTGAAGCACAACATTCGATACATTTTAATTCTGGTTATAGAGATTGTCCAAAACTGGACATTAGTGAAAGTTGCACTAAGAGATAAAAAGTCATGCTGCCATTTGATTCATAACAGGAAATGGTGTCTCTGTTTTACACGACATTGGGTTCACCTGGCATCATTCTAAAGGCTTGACACAATGTAATGGACCTTGACTGGTATTGGACCTTGGCAGGATTGCTTACATCATGACTTGGGCCTCCTCAATGAAGTCTTCTTCTGACATGGCTCCTGTGCGAATGGTTTTTATGGCCACTTTCATCCGGCCCAGCCAGTAACCAAGATGAACCACCCCAAACTGGCCAAGGCCAATCTCCTGGTCAAATGTCAGTTCCTGAGGATTAATCATCCATTTTCCTAGGATAAGGCAGCAGAAGAACACTTTCAAGCCTGTGTAGTGCTTTATGAAAGAAAAGGAGTGCAGCAGTACTAGGCCTTTTACAATACCCCCAGCTATGATAATAGATTTTAAGGGTTTCAGAAGTTTCATTCAAATTTTAACAATTTAATCTTGATAATAATGGAACGTGGTTAGATTCTTATAGTAATTCATCAGTTTTCCATTAGACTGCACCATCATACACATTTTGTTTTAAATGCCCCCCCATTGCCCCCATGCACTCCCCAAATCTGCTTGGGGGGCATTCGGGGAAACCCCAAAACAGAATACAGATGGAGGAAAGGGGAAATTGTTCTACTGGACAAGCAGAAATGTTTGCACTGATGGAACAATCTCCTAAGCGTTCCATTGAAGTTCACCCTTAGTATTTAAGATACTATGAGGTTCTGTTGTTTTTGCTAAAAGTACATTTCTACTTGATCCATTCATTGATGTGAGCCTGTTCTCAGTGAAAATGGATGCAACATTAACTTCTATAGAGTCATAGCACATGTCATTTAGACAAGTGAAACCATTATGCCAAATGAATATAACTAAAGAATAAAAGCACAATCAAGTCAATGCAGTCTCCTCACCATAACTTAGGCCAGCAGTAACAGGAGCCTTTTCTCTCCAAGAGCAAACAGCATACCTCAAACGAGTCACAAGACCTGCATGATGGGAAATATATATACATGAATTGGAGGAAAAGGTGACACTAACTGCTGATTGTTGGAAGGGGTGGAAAAGAGATGGGCCATGGAGCCAAGAGTTAATGTAGACTAAGGAGATAGATGACAGCCACATTTCACATAATATGTTTGAATACGTCTATGACTATGATTCATAGAGAAGTTACATCCCAAGGAAGTTCTATGAAGCTCTGTCAGTATAAAGTTTGGGCCCAGAGTGACAAACATAAGAGACAATGTATAACTTACAATCATTCAGATAATCAGAAACACAGGTAATTTACACAGGGCTGGATAAGTTAGTTGAACTTATTTCCCATTGAAATTTGTGTGAATTAAGTTATGGGAACCAAGTTTAATTAACAGAGCAATCCACTGCTGACACCAAGAGGCACTTCTACATCTGCAAAACAACCACTCATGTTTAACAGCAGCTGAACTGAACTTTGATTTCCAGAGCAACTGGAATGTGCTTCCAGTGAACATCAGGCAAAAACCTACAGGGATTTTAAGGTGCCTATATATATAAAAATCCTAACATCTTCGGATCATTTCAAAGCTGTTTCTCCTGTTCTTGCCTGGACATACCTCCTGCATTATGCTGGTGATAGGTGATCAGTTCCGGGATACAATCAAAAACATGCTTCTCTGCCAAGTAGTATCTCCTGGGGATGTCGCTTGTCTCCTTGATGTGATAATGTTTTATAACAGGGTTGTTCTCGTTGCTTAAATAGACAAAACAAACAAATAAGGTTCCTTTCAAAACAGTATAGAAGCAGTTAAAAAACAAACTAGAATTACCAAGCATCAGTGAAACTTTGGGCACATACTGTAGATATGACGTGGAAAACACAGACACAGATGCAGACACACACACACACACACACACACACAGACACACACACACAACAAACAAACACTTATTTGACTCTTGGAGCCTCTACTTTTTAAAAAGGTAGTGAAAAGAAACCCTTCCATTGTTTCTCTTTAAACAATAATTAGAAAGAGCACCTTTAGAAGGTCACACTTTGGAAAGTCTGGGGACAGATATGTTTGATACCTTTTTAAATGATTCAATATTATTATTGCCAGATGGACAGTGTATAAATAATAAAATTATAATCGTTATTGTTATATTAATTAAATTTATTTACTGCCCTTCATCTGAAGATCTGAAACAAAAACCCAAATAACAGAACCACGGCAAACATCCACTGGGATTTGACTTGCCTCAAAGCCTTTGTGAAAACTGAGACTGTGTATGTGCCAGGTTGCCTTGAATCTCTCACCATGAAGGCTCCTTCCTTACCCTGAAAAGGAGGAGATGGAGAAAGTCAGAAAATCCGAGCCGATGAACAGTGATGCAACAGAGGCTTCAGAATCCCTAAACTAAGTGGCTGAAGCCATATCACCAACCCCCAAATCCACAACTCCGCCTGACCTAGAACAAAGTATAATGGTGCTGGTGCTAAGGCAGGAAGTTGGGCTTCTTTTAAAAAGAACAAACAAAGGTGGTACAAATATGAGAAAAGAGCGAGCCAATCCTCAAAGACACTTGGTTAGCATAATGTATTATATTTCATCCTGCTTTTTAGAGGAAGGCTGCAGCTCAGTGGTAGAGCATAAGGTCCAGGTTCAACCAGGTAAGGATGGGAGAGACACCTGCCTGGAACTGGTGGTGGAAGGATTACTACTTACAACCCAGCAAATTATATAATCAGGCAATTCAGGTGACAGAGGATTGGATAGTGTCTTTAAAAATCATTATTTTAAATTAATTAAAATAATATCTGTAGCACTACCAATAAGGGGGGGGGGAGAATATTGTAGCATTGTGACAACCGAACCCTCCCCCCAATAAAATTACATTACTTAAACATGTACAAAATGCATTGCAAATCACTAGATCAAATTACTATATAAGCATACCTAGATTACTCCTAAGGGAAAGCCTGAGTGGACAGACCAAATCTTATAAGGCACCTTAAAATCCCTGTAGGTTTTTGCCTGATGTTCACTGGAAGCACATTTCAGTGTGGCACAGATGCCACCATTGTAAAAGCCCTGGTCTTGTAGGACATGTTGAACATCAGGAGCACATGGTGCTACTAAGAGTGTCGTTGCATTTCCCCGAGATGTCTCTTTTGCAACATGTTCAAAGTAACCAAAGCATAAAAAATACATATCCAAGAAAAATAAAAGACCATCACCATAGGGAATTCACTTTACCTCTTCCTTGAGCAGGGCTTCTGCCTTGCTTCTGCTGATGCTCTTGTTGTACCACCTGCAATGATCAAAGAGTCCCAGGATGTGAGGTTAGGCTGTACAGCTTTAGCTGTAAACTCCTTGGCTTTGGAGTTATTTGGGTTACTTTCTTGTTTTTATCCTGCACATGAAATGGCACATGAACTATCATCCATGTTAATTTGTGAAGAACATACTAAGGAAATCAGAATTCATTCATCATTACAAATTAAGCAGATTCTGAATGTTCAGCACATGCAAAAACTGCATGGCTATGGCCACGTCTGGTAAAGGAAAAGGAGAGTTACTCTCCACAATTCAGCAGACTAAATATTCCTTGAAATGGCTTTCTGCCACTTGAACAGATAATATCCCCCTTCACTAGTTCCACAATCCTGTCTATCACTTTAACCCTCCCAAACCTGAAACAAATTTACACCTTCATTTGGAAGGTTTTTTTTTAAAAAAATCTACTCAACTGAATTCTCACCCCCTTGGTAGTAATAATCGCTTGGCCTTAGATCTATTTAAGCGTTTGCCAGCAGGAGTGTCCCATCAGCAGCAAGACACTCACATCAGCAGAAAGAAGTCAGTAGCCTTTCATGTATTTCACCTTTTCCCTGTACCCTTAAAAATATGCTTTAGGGGCTTTGGGGAACCTCTGGAGGCTGAGACACAGTGCGGGGAAAGAAGAGATTGTTGAAAAGTCCAGCCTCGTCCCTGCACCCCAGGGTGCCTTCTACTATGCTAGATCCCAATTCCCTCTGCAAATGGAATCAACTTTTCCATTTGTGGCTAGCTGGGATCCAAGCCAATGTTGTAGCTAAAGAGGAAAAACAATCTTACTCATATATTTGCAGATTTTCTGGTGATTTTTCTACCACGTAGCTGCTTGGTACATATCCTTCATGCCTGTTAAAAACAGAATGCTCTAATATTAGTACACTAGAAACCCAGGCATCTTTCACCCGAAGTATACATGAATTAAAATGTTTTATAATAGCACGATGCCTTTTAAACTCTCTTCTAGAAAGGGCTATTACTGGTAATAGAGGATAAGCTTCCAAACTATATTTATAGATGGAGTCCAGTAACCATCAATCTGAGCAGGAAGCAGAACAGTCTGAGAAAGCTGTGTGGCTATTAATTCTGTGTCTGCAATTAAAAATAGAAGAGAAACTCCAAGCAAATGGCCTACTTACCCATTTCTATCCTGAACCAGCCACCAGTGGACCTCAGAGTTATCAATAACATGGTATTCTTCGTTGCACCGTAATTCCAGCTCTTGAGGATTCTGTGCACTGTAGTCATAAATGGCTATTACTGGAGATTCCTTGGACTCTGCAAATAATCTCTGTACAGAAATAACAAAAAAAACCTCGAATGAGCCATATTAAATATGCAAAATTAACTACAAGAAATACCTACTTGCATGTGTGGGAAGAAAAGACTGTGGCCACTTCACTCCTCCCCTGTCTTTTTGCTGCTGCACAACACTGACATAAGACTCACGATTTAGTTCTCTCAGGCAAAGCACAAGCTGTAAACTGTAGGGCAAACCTTGGTTACAGCTGGTGGTTAGTTTGCAGATAGATAAACCAAAGTTGGACTTCATGTGTGAACCCAGTCAATGTGTCAGATACTCACAATCTTTCCATTCCCATTTTAGGGTGGAAAGATTGCCCAGATTAAGCATATGAAAATAATAAGTATATTAAAATGCCTGCGACTCACGTTACATCATACATGCACTGGAGACACACAACAATCTTCTGCACATATGCATGATTTGTAGATTTGAAAGAACTGTATACAGTACTTAAATCCCAAACTATGAAATACTGCACTTCAAAGCTATAGATGGAAAGAAGATATATACTCAATTCAGGACCCTTACTATATTTCCACAAAGACATAACGAAAGTTACTATTTTGGATTTGATATCCCGCTTTATCACTCCCTTTAAAGAGTCTCAAAGCAGCTAACATTCTCCTTTCCCTTCCTCCCCCCACAACAAACACTCTGTGAGGTGAGTGGGGCTGAGAGACTTCAAAGAAGTGTGACTGGCCCAAGGTCACCCAGCAGCTGCATGTGGAGGAGCGGAGACGCGAACCTGGTTCCCCAGATTACGAGACTACCGCTCTTAACCACTACACCACACTGGCTACAAGACAAGCACATACCGTATTTTTCCGTGTATTAGACGAGGGTTTTTTGAGGGCCGTCCAATACATGGGTAGTAGCATGGGGGTGGGGTGGGGAGAAGCAGCGCACCTGCCAGCCAGCCAGTTGGCGGGAGCACAACTTTCCTTGATGCTGCAGCAAGCAGTAAATGATCTGGGGAGTGTTTCCTGCCCACAGCTGTGGGGGGGGGGGAGCTCAACAACTTTGGGCCATTTCCCCTCATTTTCTTAAAACCGAGTCCCCCCCAAATTAGGGGGGGTCCTTATACATGGGGGCATCTTATAGATGGAAAAGTACTGATAGATAGATGATAGATAGATAGATAGATAGATAGATAGATAGATAGATAGATAGATAGATGATAGATAGATAGATAGATAGATAGATAGATGATAGATAGATAGATAGATGATAGATAGATGATAGATAGATAGATAGATAGATAGATAGATAGATAGATGATAGATAGATATAGATATAGATATCTATATCTATCTAGATAGATAGATAGATGATAGATGATAGATAGATAGATAGATAGATAGATAGATAGATAGATAGATAGATAGATAGATAGATAGATAGATAGATAGATAGATAGATGATAGATAGATAGATAGATAGATATAGATAGATAGATGATAGATATATAGATGATATAGATATAGATATATAGGTGCTCCTTTGGATACATGCAAATATTATAGAAATATCTGAACATATTTGAATTTATAACAACGTTGCACTTCATCACTATGCCTGTGCCATTTCTTTACGCTCACCCAGTTATCCTCTGGAGTTGGGGGAAGAGGTTTCTTGGAGACTAGAAAAAGAAAAAGAAACGCTTACCAACAATATGATTCATGTTTAGAACAAAGCATAAAGAACAAAAGACAAGCCTGCTGGATCAGGCCAAAGGCCCACCTTGTCCAACATCCTGTTCTTACAGTGACCAACCAGATGCCTGTGGGATGCCCTGCTCACCTGCAGTTCCCAGAAACTGGTATTCAGAGGTATCATGCCTCTGACTGTGGAGGCAGAACATAGCCAAAGTGGCTAGTAGTTGCTGATAACCTTGTTCTCCATGAATTTAACCCTCTTTAAAAGCCATCCAAGTTGGTGGCCATCCCTGCCTCCTGTGGGAGAGAGCTCCATAGTTTAGCTAAGCAATGTGTGAAGCAGTGGTTTCTTTTAACATTCAACTTCTTTGAATGTCCATTCCTAGTGTTATGAGAGAGGATGAAAAACATCGATCTATCCACTTTCTCTGTACCATGTACAATTTTATAAACTTCCGTCCTGCCGCCTGTTACTCGCCTTCTCTCTAAGCAAAATAGCCACAAACACTGCAACCTTTCCTCACAGCGGGTGGTTGCCCTTTTTCAAACCTCCTCTGAAAGTAGAAAGAACTATCATAACCCTACAAATCTGGGCAAATTCAAACAGCCACAGGGTGGCTCTGTTTTCACACGGAGAGTTGGTTGCTTTGCAGTTTCTATTCATGAAATGAAGCAACTCTCACCACACTTTGCAGTGGCTCAGAGACTGGACATGGGCATGGGGAATAATGGTTAATTAACCACACAGCCAGAGGCTTCAGGCAAGCAGACCCGAAGTAGTACATTCTTACAATCATATTATAGCAAACCTTCATTTGAACCGGCCCAAAGCAAACCTGCAAGTTCTGTCTCTGAGGTTCATATTAACCACTCCCAAAACTATAAATTTTAATGGCATTCACTATTCTCCCCACTTTTGGACTGAGTTTCCATTCCCCACAATGGCAGTCATACATTTATACAGAGCTGTTATGAAGTTACATTAAACATGAGCATTGCTGTATGAAGCACATTGCCCACTTACCAAGGTTGCCAACACCTGGAAGATGAAACTATTGCAGCTGGGTGAACATTGATAACAACAACCACAACCACCACCACAACAACAACAACAACAACTATTATTTATACCCAGACCATCTGGCTGGGTTTCCCCAGCCACTCTGGGTGGCTCCCAACAGAATATTAAAAACATGATAAAACATCAAACATTAAAAACTTCCCTAAACAGGGTTGCTTTCAGATGTCTTCTAAAAGCCAGATAGTTGCTTTTTTCCTTGACATCTGGTGGGAGGGTGTTCCACAGGGCAGGCGCCACTTCTGAGAAGGCTCTCTGCCTGGTTCCCTGTAACCTCACATCTCGCAGTGAGGGAACCGCCAGAAGGCCCTTGGATAACAAGTGAGCCCAAGAAGTGTTAAGCCTTAACACTTCCTTGCCTCACTTCTTGGCTCCACCAAGTCCAACTGGGTATCAACGCCAAGGGATGGAGCTTGTTGCTTCCCATTGGACAGCCCAGCAGTAACTAGGCAGAGCTTTATGCAGCAGGGAATTTAGCGGTAAAGGAGCAGGAGCTGTGATGTACAGTGGATCCAGCAAAGAGAGGGTGGAGTAATCCCCATGGAAAATGCTCTGTATACTTCAGAGACATGGCTATTCCACATGCTTACAAATACCCTGACACTGGTTAATACCAGGGTAATCACTGATCTGTCTAACACAAGGGAAGGGAACGTTTTTTTCAGCCCAAGGGTTGCTTTTCCTCATGGGCAACCCTCCAGAAGGGCTAGAGGGGAAAGTGGGCAGGACAATGGATAGCTCAAATCAGTATCTCAGGGTTGTGGGTTCAAGTCCCACATTGGGCAAAACATTCCTGCATTGCAGGGGGATGGAGTAGGTGACCTTTGTGGTCCCTTCCAAATCTAGAGTTCTATGACTCTTCCTTTTGTACAATTGGCTGCATTCCAGCAGCCACACACGTCAGAGGTTTCTACACACTCCTACCCATCTTTCCATCTATGCAAACGAGAAATATCACAGTTCAAGAAGTTATTCCAGTCAGGCTAAAGGAGGGTGTAGAGCAGGGCCAGTGAGTGGGGTGGCCTGGGGGGAGTCCTGAGGGCCAGACAAATAGGTGTAAGGACTGCATTTGCCCCCAGGGCCTGAGGTTCTAAAGCCATCAAAATGAAGGGGGAAACCCCATCTTTGTGTCAAAGCAATAAATAAAACTGCAAGTAGAGCAGAGAACTCAAGCAACCAAAGCCAACTGCGTACTATACGTAGCATACAACCATGCAACTAATTATTAAAGAACAAAGGATTTAGAAGACATTCCATATAACATGTAGCCATTTTGCAGATGGGCAACACTGAGGCTGTGGACCTCTAGTGCCAAGGACAACCAGTAAATCTATGCCAGGGGTTCAAACAATAGCATGAATAGATCACTCGCGTGAGTGAATCAAACTACAGAACACAGTCAGCTTGCAATAAGCTTTATGTGTGTGATAGAAGACTTAATTAAACACAAGGGAGCACTGAACATTTCCCCCCCTCTTTCCTCAGAAATGGCATGGGGTATCAACTGTCAAAGGTGACCAGGTCCTTGCTTGATATCTCATCTAAATTAGAGCATCGTACATCAGGGTAAAGCATCAATTCAGTACTGATTCAGAAGGGATGAGGACACTTGGAATGAATTACATACCAGTATTGGCTGGAACATACTCCACACAGCCTGTTGCCAGTTTTTCTCCCTGAGCGCAACACCTCCATCTCCCATCTATCCAGAAATTTGGGTGAAACTTTGCCACCAAATTGTTGTTGTTCCTAGTTTCTGGAAAAAGTCGGATGGAAAAATTAAGATTGTGTCAAATTTCCCCAGCCTATCCATCTTGACAATGGATAACAATCTTTATCATTACGTGGCGTTCTGATGAAAAATGCTGTTGCAGTACCTCCCATATAAACTGCCAGTGACTGGGAAGGAGAAGGTGTGACAGAAGGCCCAGTGTAGCTGAAAATTACATTCCACATGCAGAGGGGCACATCTGGTCCATCCCATCATTGTGGGCTACAATTGGAAGTGGCCAGCCAGCAGAGATACAATACTTTCTCTTCTTTGGCTAGGCCAAATTTCCAAAAGAAATACAGCTGGATTACTGAATATGTAACAGCTATGTTACATGGAGTGAAGCAACAGATTCCGGACTGCACTATTTTAAATTACTGATGTGGGGATCATGGTTGTTGCATTTAAAAAATAATAATAGTAAGTTTCCCTATGTCAAAAGTCCCTAGCGTGGACAGAAAATTATTTACTATAGGTATTTTTATACCATTTCAGTGATAGTCGCAAGCATATGGGGGAGTGCTAAAACATTCTTGCTGTTGCGTTTACGTATTTACTATGTGAAGGAAGCTTCGGTGCTTTTGCCCACACTGGGGGACATTTGCAGTCTGAAATGGTTCAGTCCAGAGTGCCAGCAACTCACAATTCAGCTCAAAAGTGACACAAAGACAGCATACGAGCTGAAGCAGAAATTGCCTTCCTGCATGCCCATCAATCAATCAATCAATCAATCAATCAATCAAAAAAAATTATAGACAGGTATTTAAAGCAGCATTTCTGTCTTTTATATATGTATGCTGACAGCAGGAGAGAGGCTTATAAGCATTTCAGGTAGCAGGTGTGCTTGTACTTTACTGGGGAGTAAATCCCATGGAACTCAACAGGACGATTGCACTCCAAGGAACTCAATAGCAGACATGCAGTATTGGCAGCATATGTGAAAGTGGTTGAAGTGGGCTCTGAGTCATTCAAGTTTATGCTACAACTCTAGTGTTTTGATGCTGCTCTTGGAATATTTATTGACCTGAGAGATTACACTGTGATCAGTTACCTTCTTTCAGAGCCAGCACCCATTTCTGACAGCTCGCTTGGCTGGGAGCAAAGACGTACAGCAGATAGTTGTCATGAAAAATCTACAGCATGAAAAAAGGTGCATAGAATAAATTCCAGGCCAAACAGGAAAATAACCTACTTCTGACATAAGTACTCTTTCAAAGTCAAAATATGGCATGGATATCTATCTATATCTATCTATCTATCTATCATCTATCTATCTATCTATCTATCTATCTATCATCTATCTATCTATCTATCTATCTATCATCTATCTATCTATCTATCATCTATCTATCATCTATCTATCTATCTATCTATCTATCTATCTATCTATCTATCTATCATCTATCTATCATCATCTATCTATCTATCATCTATCTATCTATCTATCTATCTATCTATCTATCTATCTATCTATCTATCTATATCTATCTATCTATCTATCATCTATATCTATCTATATCTATCTATCTATCTATCTATCTATCTATCTATCTATCTATATCTATCTATATCTATCTATCTATCTATCTATCTATCTATCTATATCTATCTATATCTATCTATCTATCTATATCTATCTATCTATCTATCTATCTATCTATCTATCTATCTATCTATCTATCATCTATCTATCTATCTATCTAATCTGTAGCAGAAATAAATAATTCAATTATTTGCCAAATTATCTCCAGTTGCATGACTCAAATAAATCACCCATGTTACTCTAATCTGCATGCAGTTCCAAAGCTAACTGCTGCAGAAAGGGTTAGGAATTGTCTTTTAGAAAAGGAAAGCCAGCTGAGTTTTTCCTAATGCTGCATTTCCCTCCAGATACCTAAATTCGTTCTTGTGCAGTTAAGAAATAGGAAAATAAACATTTTCCAGATAAGTTTAAAACTGAAAAATTGAGGGAAGCAGCTCCACAGTCTGGCCACTGTTAGCCTGCTACAGAAAAGTCTCTCTGACTCTGGTACTTGTCAAACTGATTGATTTAGCCCAGCTTAGGTTATGGAACTGATAGGGCTGGACCAAGAAGACACCTTGCTTCCTGGGGCTTAGCCAATCGCCCCTCACCCCACCCCAGGCAAAGTCAAGGTGAAAGGCAATTTAAGGCAAGCAAAGCTATTTGTCATCTAAAGTAGAAAACTCCACCTCTTTTGCTTCTCTCTGGAAGCAAAAATGAATTAAGTATCTAAATACTTGCTACCCTTTCCTGCCTGATGTAGCTTCATCACTCTGCCTAATAGGACAGCTGGCCTGGAGTCACAACCTTTCACTTACCTGGAAAGGGTATTTATAGTGACATGGAATTGTTATATCACTTTTCACAATTTCTACACACTTAATCTTCGATAGTTCAATTGAGCCCTTTAGAATTCTTTTTTTCTACAAAAATAAAAATAAAAACAACAACACAGGATTCAGTTTGTGTCTGTAATTTTTCTAAAGGGTTATGTTACGAAGTAGGCAGTGCCTGTTCTACTGTTAACATTACAGGACCAAGTCTTGATTATTCCTTCATGTCTGAAAAGCACATTGGAAAAAATCAAGGAAAAAAACTTATCTATGTTACAATTTTTAGTACCAATGAAAGAGAGAGAATGCAAAAAGAGATAGAAAGAAATATTAAATCAATCTTCCAAACATGAAATTGCTTTATTTTCTGATCAATATAATCATTTCATCTTGCATTTTCCTTTTTAGGCAGAGATTCCAGGACAATTTATTCTACAAAGTATAACTCATTTGCCTAAAATCTTCTTCCTAACATGCTAGTTTGAATGGAAAATATAAAGATTACTCTTATTAAACATATTCTTGTAAGCAGTTTCAACTAATGTACACATTTATGCAAAGTAATTTCCCCTAACATAACACATTTTTTTTGTTTTCAGTATATGCATTTCTACGCATACTTTCCCTATAGATATTATCTTTACGCACACAGTTGGCAGGAGGCTGCCAATGCAAAATTCACAGAAGTGTAAATTTCAAAAGAAAGTTGTGTTTTGATTCTTGCATTGATTTGACAAGTTCAAATTAGTTACTTACTTATTAAAATGCAAACCAAGTCAATTTTCTCTACTTGAGAGTTTCTTTTCTGACCAATGCTTCTTTTCATCTAATCCTTGCTGCATGTGTCTGAACTATAACTATGTGTTTGTGAGAGATGGTGCCATCTGCACATGCTCACTCCAGGAACATGCTACAGCCTCTTCTAGACAGATGTAGTCTAACTGCTGTTATCCATATCCTGGCATCAACACCCAGATTAGACTACTTTTGTACGTTATATGTGGCTCCGTCTTTGAAAACAATTTCAGCAACAAGATTGCTGACCTGGTCAGTCAGATCATATCTTGCAGTTGCTTCCTGTTCATTTCTGAGTGCAGTTCAAACTGATTTTAATCTCCAGCTGCATAAAAACTTTTCACACTTGCACCTAAGTGATCACTTCCTTCCACAGGAACCTACCTGTTTGTTACGTCTGGCACCAGAGGTCCTTCTCTATATATCCCTGCCACTCTGTAGGCTTGCTTAATAATCACCATCATCTTATTATTTATATGCCACCCATCTGACTGGGTTGCCCAGAGAGCCATGTTTTAGACAGTATTTTTTTTAAGTTTGTATTTTTGTATTTTTACTGTTACTATAATTGCTTTTATATCTAATGTTTTTGATCTGTTTTATGGCTCTCTTTTGTAACCTATCTTGAAAATCTAGATTTAAATATACATTTTCAAACAAATTAAAAAATAATGTACCCCATCATTTTCATGACACCTGTCCCCATCTCCATTTTGTCACTTACTATTCTCATTTCCCTCACATAACCTATCACAAACCTTCATAGCTTACAAAAATAATTCACTGCAGGAAAATATATATTAGTAGTTGTGAGGTACAGTACTGACATTCAGCAGCATAATGCATTCAGGAAAATTAGGAAGGGGCTGTAATTAATGTCGATTTTGAAGAAATCCCTCCAATTTCAAGTTCTAATTTCAACACTTAAGTAATAGATACTAGTTTATTGAACAAAACTGAACAAAATCTGCACACATTAATGGTATCTCGCATTTCCAGGGGAAGCAATTTCAGTAGCACTCCTACAATGTAACAATCACCTACACTCCTACAATGTTGCAATCAACTACAATGATCAGCTGCCCAGTGTTCCTTGAAGACACACTGGCTGTATTTGCCAGTAATGTGGACAAGCCGCAGTGAAGCTCAGGTTCCCAAGCTCCCCTTTCCTCCTTTGTAATGCTAAACCCTCATTTAACACCATGTGTGAACTGAACCATTGCACCTGATACAGAGAAGCAGCAAGACCTTTTGGACACAAGGAGGAAACAGACCAGCATTTTGCAAATCCAAATACCAACCTTCACAGTCAGTGTTATTTTCTGATTATATGGAGACTTGCTTTTTTTGTTTTGAACAATGCACTTGCTTAAATGACATCAATTATTTTGTGCTGCAGCCATCTTGGCAGTGGGGAACATGGGCAACTGAGCTGCTTTCTGCAAAAGTCTTGACAGAAATAATCTGCAGGTCTCTGTGAATTCTGCCATGACCCTGAAATTAACATGAAGCTGTGAGTTGCATCCAGACACCCTGTTCCGATTTCCGTACAGCACCTGAATGGTGTCGTGATTGGAAATATTGCCCTGGTCCCATTCTTGACACCCTAGGCTAAGGACTGACTGATTACAGCAACATGTCTTGGATTCAGGTGCTAGGGCACTCTAGGATCTAATACTTATCTCCTTTTTCAGAGCCTCAAAAACAACGCAAAGCAGGAGAGGATCTGAGCAGCAAAGGCTTTTCGTCTCTTTCACACAGTGGTTTTAGCACGGAAAACCCACAATGCACACACTGTATGTGAAACACCGCTTAGTGAAACAAAGGAGGCAAAACAACACCTGCATGTTACTAGCATGCATTGCATACAATGAAGCTGTGTAATGCATACACACAAAATGCAATAAAATCACATTTGGGCATAAGTAACCTTGGCTAATCAAGAGGGGGAACAGCTTGAGGAGGCTCACAACAATTAGGATTCTGCTGCACACACCACTTAATGTGAACATCTCTTATTAACAGGCGTAGGCAAGGTCTGTTCAAGCCTAACTCTGGTGAAGCAAAAAAAGTGGGCATGCTAACCCTGTTAGCGCCCACACCACCAAATGACCATATTAAATGTTTTATTAAAAATACGGCATTCTAAATCAGTCAATACTCCTGTGGTGATTTCACACGTGAGGATTAAAACAGCTTTTGCAAAAAATCTCTATGTAGTGCTAATGTTCAACCTACATTAAGCAGAATGCAACCAGCCTGGAGGACGGCACTGCATGATATTGTCCTCCTCCTTAGTCACAGGGTGGCCCTTGTAGAAATCAGCAGGGAGGAGGATGGGAACAGAACAAGAATTGGTTCTGCTTGTCACTGACTCTCAGGTGTTAATTGTTGATGGGTGACATTAAGGTCCCGCTTGCTCTCCCTTCTTAAGGTTCTTTATCTTTAAACCACACTTGGACCAGACAGGCCTTCAAACAGAAAGGTCTTCCAAACAGAGGACTAATGGCCCTTCAAATAGAGGATTATCCCTTGTAAAGTAGGGCACACTTCTGATGGTGGTGTAACTATGACAAGTGCCCTCCCTCTGCCTATCTTAACACTTGAGGGGGGGGTCGGTTGGGATGGAGGCAGCATTTCAGATATCTGAAGCATAAGTTATTTAGGGCTTTAAACACCAGTGTGAACACCATGGGCCTGGAAACAAACTGGCAATCAACATGGGGATAACATTTCCCCTTGAGGAAGGTTGGTGTTCAGATTGCATTAGGGATTAAAGGGCACATCTCATCTAGCTACTTCGCTGGGGAAACCTGCCTCAGATATTGAGAATCTTGACCCAATGTGAACATGGATTCATACAGGCATAAACTAATGGAAATGAATAATGCAATCCTTTAGTAATGCTCACAAAGAGACACACACACCCAGCGCCGCTGCCACTGCTTCCTTGATTCAATCTCCAGAGCTAACAGAACAGAAAGGAGAAAACAATTATCATTGTCACTTAAACCAGCAGTTATGAATCAGAATGCACACTGGGAGAAGGCCCTTTGAACAGCAAGAGGCCTTTTTACATAGTCACTTTTCAAAGTACAATTGCACTTTAAATATTCTTGATCTATGTGCATCAAGGTTCAAGAGACAAACAGCACAAGTTATGCATTGTTCCTGGGTCCATACAGACTTCACTGAAGGAAACAGCACAAGAGGAAAGATATACAAAACAATACTTTGCAAGGGGACATCTATATGCCATTTTTGAAAATCAAGGAAAAGCAAATAAAATGAAATTGGCTTTTTGAGAAATGAGAAAGCATAACTAACAGCAGGGGTTTGGTGGAAGGAAGGAAAATACAGAAATGTGTGAGTTATATATCAAAATAGACTCCAGAAACTATAAGAAACTCTCTCTCTGTGTGTGCATGGAATTGTCCACCTATTGTGGAAGCTCCTGCATTGACTATAATACACACAAACGGTTTTCATCATTGTTAACAAATACAACCTACAATGGCACTGTACAAAAATATTGCACTCTAAGACTTTTGATATTTAGAGAAACTGAAATAATAACTATTCAGATAATATTGTTAAAGACACCTCTTGCTCTGCTTAATATCTGAGACCAGGTCTTTATTTGAATTGAAATGATTGTTTTATTCTATCAGTGTTTATGTGTTGTAAACCACTTTGGAATTTTAAATGTTTTAAATAAACTAGGGAAATGTTATTAAATAAACCAATACAAATAAACATGTTGCAGATGCCATGAGGCTTGGAGGGTCTCTGCCCCAAATCACTGAGTGGCGGGGTGGAATGCACCTTGGACATTATTAAGATATGTAATGAAGTTGTGTTTGTTGTCGTATGCATTTATGAGGAAGAGAGAGGAAAAAGACCTGGAGAAACAGCAGCTCTGAGTCTCTTACGGCAGCTAAACCTACAAAAGACACAGGGTAAGGTGGCTTTGTTCAATATCGGCAATAAATAGCTGTTTCAGGTGCAGTTCTGTGTCTCTTGACTGTCAGCTTTGTTCACTATTGTCTCTGCAGCAATACTATGCTGTTTTACATTCTACTTTACACTGCAGCTGTTGCTATCTCAAAGCATTGTGCTGGCAAAAGACTTCTAACACAGTAAAACCATTTCAATGAAACATCCAATAGATTTCATCAAAGGTTCACACTCCTGGCTGACCAAGTGGCTGAAGTCTGGAGAGATGCTTGCTATTAAGAGAGGCGGGGAGAACCACAGTGGATGCAATGGACTAAATTTCTAAATAAACATATTTT